GAAAGCAAAAAAGACAGGGAGTTTGGTCTCGAGGTAAGAAAGAATTATAGTCTGAGGCAGCAAGATATTTTCGCCAGAAGTTTCTGGGTGTCAGTGATTATACAGAACTTGCTTGAAATTTACCTCTGACCCTTTGGTCTCGAAGGGAAAAGACTCATAAGCTCAGCCGGCAAGATACTTTCGCTGAAAATTTCTGGGTGTCAATGATTATACAGAACTTGCTTAAAATTTACTTCTGGCCATTCTACTTTGCAAAAACCACATTTTTCCTCTAAAAGCGAAACAGCACAGATAGCTTGGTTTTGAGGAAAAGACAGAACCATGAGCTTCATGCGACAAACATTTTCGCCAAGGCGTTTGACCCCTTAGACTTCGCAAAAAACCATACTTCTGCCCCTAAAAGCAGAATAGCACAGAGAATTCAGCTCTAGGGAAGGACAGCCCATGAGTTTCGTCCGACAGGACATTTTCGCTAAGACGTTTGACTCCCAAACTTCGCAAAAACCACTAAACTCGAAAACCACACTTCTGGCCCTAAAAGCGCAAAAACCAAAAAAACTCAAAAATCACACTTCTGGCCCTAAAAGCAAAAAAGCACAAGGAGCTTGGTCTGGAGGGAAGAAAGAATTGTGGCCTCAGAGCAAGATATTTTCAACAGAAGTTTCTGGATGTCGATGTTTTATTGTACAGAAACTTGTTTGAAGTTCGTGGCCATTCTACTCTGCAAAACCCAGACTTCTACCCTCAAAAGCAAAACAGCATAGATAGCTTGGTCTCGAAGGGAAGAGACTCATAAGCTCAGCCAGCAAGATACTTCCGCTGAAAATTTCTGGGTGTCAATGTTTGTTCTACAGAAACTTGTTTGAAATTCTCCTGTGGCCGTTCTACTCTGCAGAAACCGACTTCTGCCTCTGAAGGTAGAAAAGCGGTCTCGAGGGAAAGACAGACCCATGAGCTTCATCCGATAGAACATTTTCACTGAAACTTTTGGCCCCCAAACTTCGCAAGAACCACAAACTCAAAAACCACACTTCTGATCTTAAAAGCAAAAAAGACAGGGAGCTTGGTCTCGAGGGAAGAAAAAATTATGGTCTGAGGCAGCAAGATATTTTCGCCAGAAGTTTCTGGGTGTCAGTGATTATACAGAACTTGCTTGAAATTTACCTCTGACCCTTTGGTCTCGAAGGGAAAAGACTCATAAGCTCAGCCGGCAAGATACTTTCGCTGAAAATTTCTGGGTGTCAATGTTTGTTCTACAGAAACTTGTTTGAAATTCTCCTGTGGCCGTTCTACTCTGCAGAAACCGACTTCTGCCTCTGAAGGTAGAAAAGCGGTCTCGAGGGAAAGACAGACCCATGAGCTTCATCCGATAGAACATTTTCACTGAAACTTTTGGCCCCCAAACTTCGCAAGAACCACAAACTCAAAAACCACACTTCTGATCTTAAAAGCAAAAAAGACAGGGAGCTTGGTCTCGAGGGAAGAAAAAATTATGGTCTGAGGCAGCAAGATATTTTCGCCAGAAGTTTCTGGGTGTCAGTGATTATACAGAACTTGCTTGAAATTTACCTCTGACCCTTTGGTCTCGAAGGGAAAAGACTCATAAGCTCAGCCGGCAAGATACTTTCGCTGAAAATTTCTGGGTGTCAATGTTTATTCATACAGAAACTTGCTTCAAAATTTACTACTGGCCCTTCTACTTTGCAAAAACCATACTTCTGCCTCTAAAAGTAAAAAAGCAGAAAGTGCTCTCGATAGAAGGACAGACCCATGAGCTTCATCCGACAGGACATCTTCGCTAAGTTGTTTCACCCCTAGACTTCGCAAAAACCAGTATTTCTGCCCCTAAAAGCAGAAAAGCACAGGGAATTTAGTCTCTAGGGAAGGACAGACCCATGAGCTTCTTGCCACAGGACATTTTCACAGAAATTTTCGGCCCCTTCTACTTCGCAAAAACCAGTACTTCTGCCCCTAAAAGCAGAAAAGCACAGGGAATTTAATCTCTAGGGAAGGACAGCCCATGAGTTTCATCCGACAGGACATTTTCGCTAAGACGTTTGACTCCCAAACTTGGCAAAACCACTAAAATCAAGAACCACACTTCTGGACCCAAAAGCAGAAAAGCACAGATAGCTTGGTCTCGAGGGGAAGAGACTCATAAGCTCAGCCAGCAAGATACTTTCGCTGAAAATTTTTGGGTGTCAATGTTTATTCAACAGAAACTTGTTTGAAACACTTGTGGCCATTTTACTCTGCAAAAACCGAACTCCTGCCTCTGAAGGCAGAAAAGTGATCTCTGGGGAAAGACAGATCCATGAGCTTCTTGCGACAGGAGATTATCTTCTCTAAAAATCTTGGCCTTTTGAACTTCGCTAAAATCACACTTTTGCCCCTAGAAGCAAAAAAAACAGGGAGCTTGGTCTCGAGGGAAGAAAAGACTCAGGGCCCAGGCAGCAAGATATTTGCGCTAAAAAATTTTGGGTGTCAATATTTAATTATATGGAAACTTGCTGAAAAAATTACGGCTTCTTCTCAATCATACTTTTGCCCCTAGAAGCGGAAGCATAAGGAGCTTGGTTTCGAGGGATGGAAAGACATAGGGTTCTATGCGAAGGACAGTTTCGGTAAGATTGTCCTTCAAAAGAAGGTGTCGGGCAAGCTTTAGTCTGTTCTAACAAATGCGTCCGTCACTGGCAAGACATCGAAAAAATACTGCTTCGTTCTTATCTACATATCTGAGTTTTCGGCTGCTGGAAGACATAACTTGACGCTTCCTTTAACATGGCACTTTCCTGGGAATCAATCTGAGTTTTGGGATGAATCAGCTGTTCTAAACAGGTGCTTGGAGGTAGCTTCCTCGTTTAAGAGCCTTGGTATCTGGGCGAAGGTATCTGCAAGAGGAACAGCAGAGATGCTTTGCGGATAGTCACTGGTAGTAGCTTCTTTTCCTAAGAGCATAGTGTTTTGTTTCTACTACTCACTATACGCGAAAGGTCGCTGGGAAGATGGAATTCTCTTTCTTGGGATTTTTAGTTAATTAATGGCAGATATCAATGTATCTGCCCGAACCCACTTACTAGCGACCCGTAGGGTCGCTAGTCTTATATATAAAGCTGAATGTCTGTTTGTCTGTATATCTGTATGTCTGTCTGTCTTTACGTATGTTCCTAATAGAAAATTCCATTTCTGAACCGATCTCGACCAAACTTGGCGCACATGCACTTCGGGCCCCGGCGGGTATCGTAGGCTACTTTTTATCATCGATCGATATCGATTTTATCGATTTTTATCGATTTTTTTGCAGAGACCTGCGGGGCTGGGATTTGGCACAGAGGGATATGTGAGCATGGGGATTACGAATACAATATTAGTTTTTAAGATCGTCCACTACTTTTATCGATTTTATCGATTTTTTTGCAAAGTTTGAGCTACGGGGCTGGGAGTTTGCACAGGGGGTAATCGAGCATGGGGATTACGAATACAATATTAGTTTTTAAGATCGTCCACTACTTTTATCGATTTTATCGATTTTTTGCAAAGTTTGAGCTACGGGGCTGGGAGTTGGCACAGGGGGATAATCGAGCATGCTGATTACTAGAATAGCGGAAATAGTGATTTGGCATGTAGGCGTGGGCACAGGGAAAGGTTCGTACAGGAATAGTGATAGGGTTTTTGACATAGTGTTTTGACAGGGCCGTGCGGAGCCGGGTAAGCCAGCTAGTTACAAATACAATGTTGGTTTTTAGAATCATCGATTACCTGGATTATTGATTATCTCTGATTTTATCGATTTCTTGCAAAGTTTTAGCTACTGGGATGAGAGTGGCAAAGCACAAGATAATTGAGCATGTTGATTTCGAATGCAGAGGGCAGGAATTCTATAGAAATGGGATGGAACGGTGAATTCTAGCATGTTAAGTCGGTAGGAATTGAGCGAAGCCGAGAATCCCAGCTAGTCTTTCTTATAAAACTGAATGGCTTGTGTGTATGTAAGTTTGTGTGCACGTACGTCTGCTTGAATGAGAACTCTATTTTCAAGCCGATCCTGGCAAAATTTGCATAAATACACTACAATGCAAGGCGGGTGCTGTAAGCTGATTTTCGTGTTTACGAATTATCGGGTTCTTTTTAGATACAAAATTTGGACTTTGGGGTGGCAATTGCCACACAGAGTAGGTGAGTGTGCTTATTACGAACATGAGAAACGTTTGTAAAAGACCCATCACTACTGCTGTTGATTTTTAGCAAACGTTGAGCTAAAGGGAAGGAAGCTATCATATAGAGGTGGGACAAGAACAATAAAATATCGTGAAAGTGGGTCGGAATGAATCCTATGATGTTATGTTGACACTGGGGCCGATTTGTTCTGTGTCTTCAAAAATAGACTCAGTATGACCCTTACTGCTTGTAATTTCTTAACTTTGCTCATCTATGGTCGCTTATAGGCAGCATGCGGGCAAAAACTTTCTAACTTTTTCGTTTATAGCCTGCAGGATCGCGAGAGTCGGACGTGCGTACAGACTTATCCTTTTAACCGGGCTCATTAGGTTCACCACCTTTGCTGTTGGACAGTGTAGTGATTTGACCTATGAACCGAACGAACCTGCTGAAACGGATAAGTCTGGCACCTGCCTTAGTGACATCGGACGTGCGCGGCGCTATGGCCGTACGCACATCCGACTCTCGCGATCCTGCAGGCCCCTTACCTGGGCTTTTCGCTACACTGAGTCTGCAAATCATCTCAAAACGCAAAAACGGCGAGAAAAGGCGGACCTCATGAGGGCGGTGTTTTCCTCATAATGTCGCTAAAGCATGCAAGCCGATGCAAATCGTCCGCTAAATACGGTATAGGGATAACTTTGGGCTGAATTTCTTTACTAGATGAACTAGTTGCGCTGCCCCTTAGACAGCGCCTCAGTTGGGGCCTCAAAATCAGTTCCCATAATACTCTTACATACCAGATTAGCATGGACGCTATCTGATAGCGTAAAGGAGGTTACCTGCTCTTGGCGTAGTGGGGAGTACACTGATGTAAATCGATTGAGAGCGATCAATACACGTCCACAAGCTGTAATTGTTCTTATGCCTATGATGTGTCCCATTGAAAATACTGCGAAGAACTGGTAGCCTTCCACATATTTGGAAATACCAAAATAATTGAGTTTGCGTGGAACTAATATGATTTCTATAACAAAAATGGCGTAGAAATCCGCAAATGACTGCAGAATGAATAGTGAGTAGTATGAGCCCTTGAACAAAGGGATCCTTTGTCGCCATTTCATTAGTTTGCATATGAGAAACGCATAGATAAATGCCGAAAACCATACGTATATTGACAGTAGTAATTGCCCAACGTGCATCTGAGGAACTTTTTCGCAATTACTCATATATACAAAGAACACACATTTGTGCAGTGAAAATGAATAGGCAATAAAGGAGAACAATCTCTGCGATAATGATATTGATCCCGCTATAATAAAAAAGAGCAGAGTTTAGGAGCCAAGAAGTAAATGATCCAGTTTGGCTATGCCGTGCGCCCCAGGACTTAGCACAGGTGGCTTACGGAACAGACTGGGTAATAATGAAAAAAAGGGGAAGTCGTTTTTGCGGGGTCCGGCGCTGAGCCCAGAAAAAATACATGTACGTTTATGGAAACTGCTAGTCGCTTCGTGCAAATCGGAGCCTCGGGAGTAAAATTATTTCAAATGTCTGATCAAGCAATGCAATATAAAAGTGAATTTTTTATAAATTTGAGCAAGTAAAAAATTTGAGAATTGGCCAACTTCATTCCCATCCACAAGTTTTTGCGGACTCCCCCCCCCCCCTAACCAACAAAACTTACCACCTGTATCGCCAAATAAGTCACACACATTCGCACTACCCTTTCCTCTTCCTCCTTCCGCCCCACAAACACTCCGCCTCATTTTACGTAGTCTGTTGAAGAGCAATTGAAAAAACTGTTAATAACCCTTCTGCGCCATCTCATTATGATAATTATCCTATTGCCGAGAACACCACTTGATTCTCGTTAGGTTACACATTATGATGAAACCCAATGCCCTACAAATTTGTTTACTGTTTTCATAGGAAGTCATGATGATGGAAATTTTTCAGAATCCCAGTATAATTTGAACATGTTGAATTTCTCGAAAAATACCGGCTGAAATGAGTGTGGAACCAACGTGCTCTCTAGCAAACAACCCTTGCAGGTATGTAGCATAAGATGGTACATCTAAGAGGTTGCTATCCCTAGTTGAAAAAAAAAGAATGCCGTTTCTCATAGCAAATCATTGGGACGAATACAATAAAATATGGGATGGATACCATTCGACAGAGCAAAGAAAGTTCTACAGAATGAACTCTAAATATTGGCAGAAGTCGTGATTTACGCAAAATTCAGGGCTAAGACAGGGGAACCCGTGATGCCAATCAGATCTGCGCCTCAAAAATTCTACCAATCTCTTACTTGCTCTGCATATAACAAACGCATATATTTTTTCATGCTCAAAAACCAAGAAAAAATTGAAAAACCAAAAATATCAAACCCCCCTCAGTAGTATTGGCCTTATCCCCTATATGCCATTGTATGCTAAGAACTTTCAGAATTTCAGTCATAATATTTTGGCCTTGGATTTGCCCGAGTTCTTAAGAAATATCAATTTCGGTCGAAGAAAACTTGAAAAAGCGACATTCTTTCTCTTCAGTGATTCTTCGCACAAGGCAAGGGTTACTGCTACATTAGATGTTGCTAAAGTTCAGCAGAGACAAAGAGCTCAGTGTATTTGTACGGAGAAGTCGCATGGCGTCCGAAACTAGCCGAAGCACTGAAGATTGTTGCAGAGAGTAGAGTATCTATGTCATGTAGCTATTTCCACGAATTAATCAGAAGCATCAGGCTGACAATGAGAGCAGTGACAATTCATCCATTTTTTTTTGAGATGTATGCTTTCCAAAGTTCATAATCGGAAAAAAAGTCCCAAAGGAACTGTAATACTTCTTAATTGTCTCATTTACTGTATTGACTCGCAAAATGGTGCAAAGTACGAACTTTTTTCTAACACGGAAGGAAACTAGAGCGCCGATTATGATCTCAGTTATGTACGCCTGTAAAACATTTGAAAAAGCTATATTAAAACTTTATGCCGGCGACTGTTGGCGAAAGGATAAAGCAAGTAGAAAAGGTTTTGTAAGAAGAAAAATTGCTCAACATCCACTTCATATCACAACCATTCGTTTGTTAAAAAATCATGTGGTGGTTACACCAAGCCATAGCAAAGTTTGAGATGTTTCGATCTTGAAACCTATCAATTTTTCAACTATTTGATTTTCAATTCGTCTTAATATCATTTTTGCATAAAGTATGCGCAGACGCAAACAGCAATTATTCTTGCGCAACATTATCATTCGCTTACTTACAATGTATGAATGTTTTGAATATCTGACGAGATAATTGAGTGAACTGGAAACCAGCACAATTTTTTTCATAATAAATTTTTGAACCATTTGAAAGAAAAGAGTTGTCCAAAGTTGTCTCTGGCGAGCAGTAGAAATGTGCTGTTGCGCTGGTAATACAGACCTCCAATGGTTCGAAAAACTGAGTTGGAAACATCATGAAAGTTGTTGGTGATAGGTATCCAGGAGTTCACATGTTAAGGAGTCATTATAGTGTGTGCCCCGGTCAGCTTCCCATAAATACCTCCGAAACGCACCCGCAGCGCGCCAGCGGCCTGATGCTCTTCATCTCGCTTTTGAGAAGAAAGCATTCTGCGCTCACAAAGCAGTGAACTAAGAAGTGGAGACCTCTGAAACAACCTCGAGAAAATAATATACAAGAATGGGATTTTAACAAATTTTTTCGTTTCAGTTATCCTAATGAAATGCGAATCTTGCTGTGAACTCAAATAAAAGCTAAAAAAGACGTGCAAATTTGTACAAACGAAGCCTTACTGGTTTTAAACTTTATATGGTTTCAAGCATTCACTCACGGAATCGAACCGAGAGCAGACAATCTAAGGCCCGTATGCACGTACATCCCCGCGGGGAGGGGAGGGGATCTGAGAGGGAAGCGCCATATCTCACTGCTCTAGATATCTTTCTTCTTTCTTCTCTATCGTGCTTTTGAGGGTTCTCATACCCTTATACCTGCACATAATAGATGCCAGGTTACTGCTATACAAGGTTAAATATTCACTATTCCTTCCGATCTCCTGGGGATTCCCAGGGGATCATCTCACAATTTCAAAGTCGTTTATCTTCCTGAAAAATGAATGAAAACGCTGCAAAATTGTACTGAAGATATACTACGATACTGCTGAGCATGTTTTCGACAGAAGAAATGAAATCTGAAGATTTTGGTTTTTTCGGTAATCCCTGGCTCGCGAGCAGCGGTTCATCGAAGATTTTGATATCTTGCGATTTCACTCATTTCTACCATAAATATGTTCAGCAGTGCTGTAGTATATCCACAGTACAATTTCAGAACATTTTCATCGAGGTTTCAGAAAGATAAATAACTTTGAAAATGTGAGGTGATCCCCTGGGGATCCCCAGGGATCAGACGAAATAGTGAATACCTAATCTTGTATGGCAGTAACCTGGCATCCGTTATGCGCAAGTATCAGTGTATGAGAACCTTCAAAACCAAGACAGAGAAAGAAGAAGAAAGATACATAGACTAGCGAGATATAACGCTTCCCCTCTCAGATCCCCTCCCCTCCCCGCGGGGATGTACGTGCATACGGGCCTAACATAGTACAAGAGACTTTTGAAGGAAGCTTTTCCTTTATAGCTTGCTCAAATCCTAACAATTCAAGGTATTGAATAGCGATTCAATGAAAATGCATTTTTGGTCAAAGTCTCGGAAAGCAAGAAAAAAGCAGGAAATGAGAAATAATTAGATAATAAACATTTATGACTTGTTAAGCAACGTTTGAGAGCTACTTTTTTCTTGAGCTCAAGAGGGATTGCAATTGTAACGAAAAGGTTGAGATTGTTATAGGCAATATCAGCCAACATAGCATATAATAAAGGCTAAAGAAGTTTACTAGAATCGCTAGTAGGCACGAGTACTTGATCAAGTTTTCGAAGATCAGAATCAACGGCCTTTTTCCTTTACTACCAACCATTCACCATAGTAAATCGCGTTAACCAATGGCTGGTGAATTTTTATCATATTTGCCCCAGAGTTTATTTTTTAAGGAACCTGCTATGTCCTACTGAATAAAACAAAGTGCAGCTAAATAGGCTATTCAGCAATTACTATCGCTGTAACCTAGAATTAGCTGACAGTCAACGTTTGATTGAATGAGACAAACAGTAACAATGCCTACGCTTGATTTTGTTTTATTTTAATGATGATCGCTCTCTGGAAACACGATCATTATGTTTCTAGGTTCTAATTCTAGGTTACAGCGATAGTAATTGCTGAATAGCCTATTTAGTTGCACTTTGTTTTATTCAGTAGGACATAACAGGTTCCTTGAAAAACAAACTCTGGGGCAAATATGATAAAAATTCATTATGTCTCTGTGCCAGGTCATATGAACACGTATTTATGATGCAACTGAGGGAATGCAGTTTTCTTCATAAATATCTGTAAACTTTGGACCGTAACCGAATTAGTAACTAGAGTGACTAACCGTTTTTGAAGTTATAAGACCTCAAACAAATTGATTAGCTTTTCAAAAATCAACCCCTTTCTATGCTCCACACTAGAATTTTTTGTCTTCTTCTCCTTAAAAAAAGTGCAGCCGCAACTTTGTTCTGCACAATGACCGCCAAGAAGGTGCACACAAACCGCCCTCCTTTTTTCACGTTCCTTTTTAGACAGTAAACAAAGATGAAAAAAATGATCTGACTGCATATGCTGATAGAGCTCTCCAATAGCTACGGTCCTTACATTACGATTTCTAGAAAACATGCTAAAAAAATTTAAACTTTCAAAAAAAAAAGCCCCCAGACCAGGTCACAATGTCGCGAACAACAATTTTTCGACTGCGAAAAACCTTGGTAATTTTAAGAGCCTTTTCTCTAGTTACCACTGAGGCTGCGCTTTTTAACCCATTCTCCTAATTTCCAGGATTTCGTCTAACCTCATTTGCTT